CTGTGAGGCTTGCGACAGACTAGGGGTGCTGCGGCAGGACCCTCGGCTTGGACCCTGGCCCACCCCGGTGGCCTCCTGTCACATTGAGGTGCCTTCATATTTGTCATTGGAGCAAACAGGCAGCAGTGTGCAGAGATCCTTGGCAAGTCCTGAGATGGGGATGCATGGGCTGTGTTGTGCCCGTTATTTAGGCCTCTGTAAGCACCAAGGAAAGGTTCTTTTTCCATTGGTAGGCACTGAAGTACTTAGTTTTTAAAAAGATAGTGGACCTGTCTGCTGGCATTGCTGTGACTGCTGGTGTTGAAATGTAGATGAGTAGTGTGGTGGTGCGGGTGTCCATAGGGAGGCTCTTCGTCCTGGAGTTTGTGAGGGAGGGTTCGTTGCAGTGCCTCCGATGCCACTGGGTCAGTGTGATTTATGAGAGGTGGCAGGTGTTGATCCACAGGGACAGCAGCCTCGTGCTATCCAGCTGGCCAGAGTTGCAGCTTCAGGTTTCTGCCGAAGCTGGGCTGCGCTGAGTTTGGTGCCAGGTCTGACGACCGGCCAGCGGTTGCTGTTTGTCTCTCTCCCTCTTTAGAATGGGAATCCCTGGGGGGGCAGGGACAGCGGCTCCTTCACTGTTGCAGCCAAGCATCCCGCACATAGCGAGTACTCGTGAGACACCCAGGGCCTTTTACTTTAAATGTCTTTGTTCAGAGGCAGTCTTGTTTCATTAATAAGACAGCACCTACCTTGCAGTTTATTGTAAGGATTAAATAAGATGCACGTGTGAAAACGCCTCAGCACTGTACCTGTGACGTACTGGGCACTCGGTGCCTCTTAGTTTTCCTCCTCTCTTCTTTCTTAAACTTCTTAGCACTTTCTCCAGGATAATGCTGAGCTTAGCATTTTGCATGGAGAACCCAGCTGGTATGTGTGGCCATGTTATTTATGTTGGCCCCCAAGTATAGGCGACTGTCCTGGGAGTCTGGTTATGTTGGTTCTTGCAGTGGATGCATTTCTTATTGTGGATTAATAAACAGACGCTCTGACTTGCCGGTTAGTCTCTGAGAATTTGTTTAGCAGACCCAGTTCCTCGGAGCCTGTTCACCCAAATGAGCAGATAAGGCTGAGCTTCCGACCTCACACCCTCCACTCTCTTCCACTTGTGGAAGAGAAACTGCATTTAGCTGGTGCTCCCTCTAGGGGCTGAGTTGATCCTTTGGTCTCTTGGGATCATTTTGGCGGTGAGGGACATGTATGCTCAGTAAAAGAGTTGCTAAATGAAGAGTGGATGGTTAAGTGGGCCAAAACCACTTTGTTTTAAAACTCTGTGCATCAATCTGTAGAACATTCAGTGAGTTAAAGAACCCGTGGTGGTTTACTGGAATTCTGATTCTGGGCATCAAAATATTCTTAATTATTTCTCAGTTTATTTTATTTTTTAGTTTTATTGTGGCTGGCTGGTACAGGGATCGAATGTTGGACCTTGGTGTTATCAGCACCACGCTCTAACCACCTGAGCTAACTGGCCAGCCCCTCTCAGTTTGTTTTTTAACTAGAACTTAATTATTTCTCGGTTTATTTTTTAACCAGAACTTCCCTTTAAATTTTCGTGTTCAAAAGCAACTTCAGTTCCAAAAGTCAGAGGTACCCTCTTGTTCAGTTTTGTTTCTGGAATAACAGAGAACCTCCACCAGTGTCCACTGTCCCTACTGCCGTCCCCTGCCGCTGGAAGCTGATGGGCGCCACCTCGTGCAAAGCCCTTGGGGAGAGCTGCAGCAGTTGTGCGAGGACGCGTTTTTCAGTAGTTTCAACATTCCGCTTTCTAGGAAGACTCATCCACCAATCAAAATGATTCGGACATTTAAAAAAAAGCCTGTGGTGCCTGCAATATTCAGGGCAAAGGACTACGGTCAGAGAGACACGCCTGCCTCCACATGGTCCACAGAGGCTGCTGCACCTGGTTAAGCTGTTGTGATTTGGAGGCCTTGGTTGAAGGGACAGGTCCCCCTGGCCGAAGTACTCCTGCAGCCCTGACTTTGGTATTATGGGGTCGGTCTCTCTGTTGATCTGTGAGCAGCCAGAGGGTTACATCTCCTTTTTGTCACCTCTCCTTGTTCCCTGCTGCTTAGGGTAGCACCTTTAAAAACAGGGCAGTTTTAGCACTAATGTGCACCTTTGGGCCATCTTGTGAGTCCTTAGCACTGGCTGGCCGTTTTTATTGTGGATTTAATTCCTGTTACTCTGAACTGATCTTATTTCTTCTGCTTGCCTATGACATCCTTGAAGGCAGGGGCTGTCTCCTCCATCCATAGTGTCCTCCCTGGGTACCTGTCATGGGGTAAGCTCCCGGTCAAGAGTTGGTGCCAGCATTTTTGCCCTCCAACCCTGTGTAGGCTCCGTGCTAGGTGCTGGGGTCACACAGAGCATCAGGGACAGAGGAGAGTGGAGCTGGGCTCAACCCAGGCAAGAACTGCCCCTGGGCAGTACAAGGCGCCCACATGGGCCATTCTGGTTTGCTTGCCCTGCATGCGTTGTGACAGACGCCACCTAAAGGTGCCCCACCACCTAGTCACAGAGGGTCTTTCTTTAGGAGTGGAATTGTAGGATCCGTCCCAGCACAGGCCATAATTCTGTGTGCAGCCTATAATTTTGTAACCTGTACATCAGCACTATAATAACAGTGTAAGTTGCGTGTGGTTTGTGGACCTGTTGATTTGGCGTGGGCCTCTTGGTTGGAGGTTGATCTTGGTAAATCTCTTGTCTCAGAACTGGTTTCCTCTTGTTCCCTCATGTAGGTTAGTAACTTGAGTGGCTAACAGGCAGCTTTGGGAAGAGCAGACAGATGGAACTGAGCTGCTTGCGTGCACTGTCGAGTTCAGAACTCAGTCACTGTCCATGTCACAGCTAGCCATCGTTTAGGAGGAGTGAGCTTTGTGGGGTTGCAGGTGGAAATGTTTTAGGGGCAGCCATTTTCTTCTGGCCAATTTGAGATGCTTGATGTGTGTGGAGATGTAAGCTTCCTTCCTAAGAGCCAGGCTCATGCCATGTGTCTTTGTACTTCCATAACCTCCAGGGCAGGTCCTTGTGCATCATAGGAACCAGGAAAATAAATGAGTGATCCAGTATAATGCATTTGAAGAGTATTTCATTTGCCATCTGGCCACTGAGGGTGGTGCCAGCAGAGAGGAAGTCCCAGTTGAGCGGAGCCTGATCTGTTTTTGGTGGGGCTGATGAAACATGATTTTTACATTGCTAAAGTTACATCACTAAATTTCGAGGGTCATTTTCTATTTACAGTTTATTGTTAGGGGTTGTCTGACAAATCATAGGTGACATTTTCCATCATTCTCCTCTGTGAATCCCATACTGCCACTGCCTGGTCCAAACACCCTCACCACCCCTTTCACTCCCTCCCCTTCTTTTTTTTTTAAAAGATGACCGGTAAGGGGATCT